TGAGGGTCTTCTTTGGTGGTGGCTTTAGAGCAAAGCAGGGGTCTCACATGGCAGAAAATGGTGGAGCAGAGAAAGAGAGAGAACTTCTCATGTGCTCTCCTTTTAAAGCCCTCAGAACCACACCTCTGACCATTATTAATCCATTCACTACGTACAATCTAATCACCTCTTCAAGGTCCCACCTTTTAATTATCATAATAGGATTTTTCACCCTCTTTACACTGTCACATGGGGACTAAGTTTTGGGGGGGACATCAGTCCACAGCAAGGGATGAAATGATACCTCATTGTGGTTTTAATTTGCACTTCCATAACGATCAGTGATGTTGAACATTTTTTCATGTGCTTGTTGGCCATTTCTATGTCTTCTTTTAAGAAATGTCTGTGCAGGTCCTTTCCCTATTTTTTAATTGGGCTGGGTTTTTTTGCTGTTGAATTGTTTGTTCCTCATACATTCTGAGTATTAGCCCCTTGTCTGATGTAGTTTGCAAACACTTCCTACCATTCTGTAGGTTGTCTCTTCACTTTGTTGACAGGGTCTCTTCCTGTGCAGAAGCTTTTCAGTCTGATATAGTCCCATTTGTATATTTTTTGCTTTATTTGCCTGTGCCTTTGTAGCCTCACTCAAAAAAAAAAAAAATCACTGTCCTCTCCCATTTTGTGTAGCATTTCCCCTATGTTTTCTTCTAGTAGCTTCACAGTTTTGGGTATTAAATTTAGGTCTTCAATCCATTTTGAGTTGATTTTTGTGTAGGGTGAAAGATAGGGGTCTAGTTTTAATCTTCTGCATGGGAATATCCAATTTTCCCCGCACCATTTATCCTTTCCCCACTGTATATTCTTGGCACCTTTGGCGTGGGTTTATTTCTGGGCTCTCTATTCTGTTCCACTGGTCTATTTGCCTATTTTTATGCCAGTACCATGCTGATGACCACTGCTTTCTTATCTNACGTCAAGGAACTGCATCACTGTAAGGAGAAATGTCTAAATTTTGAATTGGAATACATCAACTGTATTACTTACAAAACATACAAAAAGTTAAACAAAGACTCCGATTCATACACAGGAGAGCAGTAGTTTCCAGACTTAGCTACAGAGAACGAGGGCACTGCTGAGGCATCTCAGCAACCTCCAGGGAGTGAAGGGGAATTCAAGCAGGTGCTCAACTACTGTTGTGCTCAACTAAAGCAGCTATGCCTTTATCTGCCTTTTATCTGTCAACCCTGATGTCCATTTGATTAGAGCTTCTCAAACTGTATAGTGAAGGATCTGCTTTGGTTTTTCTAGTTTCTAATCTCCATCACGACCAATACTTTTGTAAAAANCACTGGTCTATTTGCCTATTTTTATGCCAGTACCATGCTGATGACCACTGCTTTCTTATCTCACCGAGAAACCTTGTTCTCTATAATCACAAACAGAAACTTTGCTGTTTGAAATCATAACAAGAAGAATGAAACACCCCACTCTTAACACAGAAAGAAGCCTGGATTTCCAAGCCAGGTGCAGGGTTTCATATTAGGGAATTTTCAGATACAGCATTCCAAGACTATCTAACCTATGTAGTTTCCAAGAAAACAGGGATGTGGGTCTACTTCACAGTCCTAACTTAATCCATACTTAGTCCTGCTT